ATCCGCCGGTTCATTTCGAACCTCTCAGGAAAATGCCAGCCATTCTCCAAGCTCGCAAAGAAGGGCGTATCATTTGTATGGGATGAAGCTTGTCAAAAGGCATTCGAGAGTATCAAAGAATATCTCTCGAAACCTCCCGTACTCGTTGCACCGAAATCGGGCAAACCGTTCTTGATTTATATCAAGGCGACGAGCCATTCATTAAGTGCATTGCTTGCACAAGATGACGATAACGGTCACGAGCAAGCGGTGTATTATTTAAGCCGAACCATGGTGGGCGCGGAACCTCGATACCCCATGATTGAGAGAGAATGCCTCGCTCTGGTATTTGCCATCCAGAAGATGCGACATTACTTGGTAGGACAGACCATCTATGTCATCTCCAAGGTTAACCCAGTCCGGGTATTCATGACCCAGCCAGCTTCCATGAGTTGGCGGTTAGCAAAATGGGCCTTACTTTTGTCCCAATACGATCTGCACTTCAAACAGCAGAAGTCAGTAAAAGGGCAGGCCATCTGTGATCTCCTGGCATTTAATCCAACCACAGACACTGCCGAGATATACGACGACCTACCTGATGAAACCCACGAGGTCAACGCAACTTCACACCAACAAGTGTGGCGTTTGTACTTCGATGGCGCTTCCCGGGCGACTCTTGTCACAGGTCCTGGATGTTCCAAGGTCTCCTCCGGAGTTGGAGTGGTCTTAGTTTCCCCAGGAAAACACGTGATGCCCCGAGCCTATTCATTAACCAAGCCATGTTCAAATAATGTGGCAGAGTATAATGCACTGATCATTGGACTCAACTTCGCTAAGGAGCTGGGGGTTGAGTATCTCGAGGCCTTCGGTGATTCTCAACTAATAGTCAAACAAGTTCAAGGGGAATATGAAGTCCGAAGCCAGGATTTAATACCCTATCACAAGATGGCGGTGGAGATCGCGGAATCGTTTGAAGGGTTCTTCATCGAGCATATTCCACGGTTACAGAACACCTACGCGGATGCATTAGCAGCTCTAGCCGTATCTCTGGCACAGCCTCCCGGAACAGAGCAGTTTGTTACGGTAAGGACCCATCAACTCTTGGTACCACTCTACGATGAGGATGCCAAAGAAGAAGAAGCCCAAGAGGTGCACGCAACTCAGATTGAGTTCGAACCACGAGATTGGCGTTTCCCCATCATCGACTACGTCTTGCATGGAATCTTGCCAGAAGATGTGAAGGAAAGAGAGTCAATCAGACGAAGAGCACCAAGATTCTACTATAGTACGGAGAGTCGAACGCTATACCGCAGGGGGTACGATGGGTTGCTATTGCGTTGCCTATCAACCAAAGAAGCTGAAGAGGTCCTTAGGGAGGCGCATGAAGGAGAGTGTGGCGCACACCAACCTGGTCCTAAGCTTTATGATCGCATCAGAAGAATGGGGTATTTTTGGCCTTCCATGATGAGTGATGCAATCACGTATGCCCGAAAGTGTAATGCATGTCAAATACACGGGAATTATATGCACCAACCTCCGGAGCATCTGCATCCTTCGGTTACGTCATGGCCGTTCGAGACTTGGGGAATGGACATTGTTGGCCCTATAAATCCCCCATCAGTCAAAGGTGACCGATTCATCCTGGCAATTACCGATTACTTCTCCAAATGGGCTGAAGCAGTTCCACTCAGAGAAGTTAAAACGAGTAACGTCATTGCATTCATCAAGCACCATATCATCTATAGGTATGGTGTTCCAAGACGAATCATACATGACAACGGTCCTCAATTTGTCAGCAACGCCTTCATAAGGTTCTGCGAAAAGTTTAAAATTCAGGATATCTCGTCAACGGCTTATAATCCCACAGCAAATGGATTAGCTGAAGCCTTCAACAAGACTATCATAAAACTCTTGTCAAAAATCGTGAAAACTAATAAACGAGACTGGGATGACAAGCTTGGCGCGGCTCTATGGGCCTATCGGACCACGGTGCGCACACCGACGGGAGCAACCCCGTATTCACTGGTATACGGATGTGAAGCTGTTCTTCCATTGGAGATTCAAATCCCGTCTCTTCGGATCGCTCTTGCAACCCAGATGATGACCGAAGAACAACATCAGAAACGCCTCGAAGAACTCGAGAGGCTCGATGAAAAGCGCCTGGAAGCTCAACAACATATTGAGTTTTACCAAGCTAGAATTTCTCGAGCCTTCGACAAAAAGGTTCGACAAAGGAGTTTCAAAGAAGGGGATTTGGTTCTAGCTGAAAGGCGGCCTATGATCCTTAATTCCAAGAAGAAGGGTAAATTTGAACCCAAATGGGAGCGCATATCGCCTAGTCACCAAGGATGGTGACCGGCTTATGATGCCAATAAATGGCAAATTCCTGAAAAGATACTATCCTTAGTATCTTCAGGAAAATTGATGTATCGGGAAGTTCTCGGAAGAATACCACATGTGGTATTCTTAGGGATAACCCAGTCACTGTAGAAGATGAATAAGAAATCCACGTTCAAACTCCGAACGCCGAAATGTTTCTTCTTGTCAAATTCTAATTCTCATGAGTTATTTTTGTGAGATGAGATCTAATCCTTTGATGGATTAATCTTTCCTCAACAAATCACCTGCTGATCAAACCAATTGATGGTGGATCCACTAAAATTTCCATCTACCAGTCATTGGCATTTCTCAGACTCAACAAGTTAGGTCCTAATCACCTAGCGTTAAAGTCTTCCTTTGAGAGATAATACGAGTTGGCATTTTCATCGCTGCCTGTATTCCACTTTCTTTGCTTTCAGGTCAAAGCTATAAAAGTTAGGGCCAGAGCCAAATTCCTCTCTCAATTCTTTCCATGAACGAGAGATCCACTTTCAATCTGAACAATCAAACCTATAAAAGTTAGGATTGTTCCCGAGCTCACTTAGTCAAGTCTACAAGTAGTTAGGGCTAAGACCGGGTCATTCCTTTTCGATAAACGAAAATCCGCCTTTGTTCCTTTTTTCCACCAAATCTATAAAAGTTAGGGTCGAAATTGGGCTTTCTCCTCAATGAATGAGGGATTCTTTTGATTCAAATGACTAATCCTATAAAAGTTAGGGCCGTTTGAACTTTTCCGATTCTCGGAGTGGAGATCCCACTCTTAGTTTCATCTTTTCGGATTCTGGGGGTGGAGATCCCACCTTGAGTTTCCTTTCCGACTGTAGAGAGAATATAAAATTCTTCATCTTCAGTCCCGGGAGATAGAATATAAAATTCTTCCTCTCCCGTTTCCCAATCGTAGGGACGAGTCAACACCTAACACGTGTTGTCGGGTAGCCTGTTCCCGTAACAAAGACGAAGCCTATGTATTCGGCATCATAGCATAAAGTCTCAGAGAATTCACTCTCTAAGCACAACGTTACATGCGGAACGGATTTAGACAATCCGCATGCTAGCCCGACTCAAACGGTAATCGGTAAAGGCACATCAAACCCGTTGAAGGCTGGGGGTTTGCTAAAAATCCCAAAGTCTATGTCTAACACACATTGCCGGTTTAGTCTTTCGCCGATTGAAAAAGACACCAGGATCTAAGCCTGGGGAATTTTATCCCGAAGCCTAAGAAGGGATAAATCGTCGTCTAATATGCGGCGCGGGGTACCTTTTTCCCTATAAGAGATGGTTAAGTCTATGTATTCAAAATCATAGCATCAAGCCTAAGAAAAACAATTCTCTTAGCACAACGTTACATGTGAGGCGGATTTTAATAAATCACATGCTAGTCCGATTCAAACGGTGATCGGTAAAGACATATGAAACCCGTTGATGGCTGGGGGTTTGCCAAAAATCCTGTAAATCTTGTCATTGCTGAATTCAAAATAAATAAAGAAATATCATAACTGAATCAAAGGCTGAGTTTCTATTAATAGATCAAGCTAAAGCATACAATAAAAAGCTCATCATCCTGAAGACAGTCGGCGGCTAAGAACATGAGATTTTAACTTAGAAAGCTTGTCTATATAACTCTGTTCTAGTTCTACTTGCAGGTCAGCTCGGATGGATTCTTCAGAATTGCTCAAGATCCTCGCAGCTTCATTCTTCAGTTCCATCAATCTCGCCTGCGTAGGTCCTAATCTCTCAAGCATCTGCTCGCGAGACCTCTCTAGTCCAGCCAACTCTTCCGCCATAATACCAACAGATTCCTCGGCAAGCTTCAAGGCCTTCCTCAATTTATCTACCTCCTCACGCTGAGAGCCCAAAGAATTGAGTAACTCGGCTTTGTCAGTATCCTTCCTGGCAATACCAGCCATCAGTTGTGCGACGGAATGCTCGTATGACTGAAGTTCATGACCGATGGAAGATCTCAAATCATGCCACTGCGACAACCTATTCTCCAGCTGAGAAGACACGAAAGAAGAAGCTCCGCTAGCCTGTAGCTCCTCCAACTCCCGGAGTTCAGACTCCAGGACAATAAAATCAGCGGCGAGGGAGTCAGCTAACTCCGAGTATCCGTCATCTCGGATCATCGTCATGTAGCGAGAAAGGGAACGTCTATACTGATCAAAACCATATCCTGGGTGAAGAACCTTCTCGATCATGCTGTTAAAAAAGACAACGAAGGAGTTGAGATCCATCCGGAATACGTCTCTGCGAGGATCGGAATCAGACAAGATGGCAAGGATGTGATCATATGGAGAAGGCCGAGATCCTACAAACAACAGTATGGAAGGCTAAGAAATTATTGAATACGATAAGGAAATTTAAAAGCAAATTCCGAACATACCAATGTCAACGGAGGCCCCCTCGGGCTGAGATCTGACAGGCTCCGAGATAAAGGCAGGAGCAGTCGTAGAGGGTATATCAACCCCTGTAAGCAAATCGGTCATACCTCTCAGCTGTGGCGGGGAGACACCGCTTTCAGGCAGACTATCAGTCCCAGAAACTGTAGTGGCATCAGGCACAACGGCTGGTCCTAGAGTTACATGTCTTTATTAGTCAAAATTTAGACAAATAAGGAGGGTCGGAATGATAAGGTCATCTGCATACCTGTGGGTCCATCATCCTCAGGTATCCGGGGAATGCCAGGAGTCATAAGAGTATCAGTCCCGGTGGCTGGTCCTATTATTGCACCCATATATTAGTCAAAAGTCAGGTAAATAAAGAGGAGTACGATGTCCCTAAATCGCATGCGTACCTGCAAGTCCGTCACTCCGAGGTAAGCTAGATATGCCGGGAATCGATATTGGGTTAATCCCAATGACTGGCGCTGTAATATTAATCCTTTGTTAGTCAGACAAAAGATCAGGCAAGATGAAGGGAATAAGATATATACCTGTGAATGAATCACTCTCAAAGGGTGCTCCCACAGTTCTTCTGGTGGCCTGCTCAGCCAACATATCGGCTAATAATCCAGCGTCGGGTTTCGAGAAACTTGGTACAGGAGCACACCCATGTTCCTCGAAACCTACATCATGATAGGCTCCATCCTCAACTGGCTTTTCCTAAAAATACTTGCAGCAAAAACAGAAGATCTTCCTTCCCCATGATTGAGGAGGGTATCATTGGATGTAGATATACCTGAATATGGGACGGTGGGCTCAACACTATTCACCTGCTCAAGATCAATGTTTAGATCGATGCCCAGAGAACCGTCATGAAGGGCGTCGCACATCTGCTGCATGAAACAGTCCATGTTATCAGATCCAGGAGATACCGGACTCGGTGGAAGTTCGCCATCTTCAAAGAACCCTGGAGCATAAAACATGGTTACGAATCCCAAAAGGTAAATCACCTTAAAGCAATAAAAATAAATATTACCTTCCCCTCCATCGGCAATGCTTCCTAAATCCACTCCATAAGGACGCTGACCGTCGTGCGGTTTATGAGCGGTCTTCTTCCTTTTCGGGGCGCCAGCCCTCCTAGGACCAACAGGTCGGTCATGCACGGACTTGTCACACGTCTCAACATGCGTGGGAGCTCGATCGCCGGGCCCTGAGCTCGTATAACGAGAAGCTGGCGACTCATGATCGTCAACTGTCCTACCTAAAGTGACAATGGTCATTTCATTAAACGAACAAGATCTGTCGTTTATACCAATTAGAATGGAGAAGGAAAATCAAAGAGCATGACAAACCTGTATCAAGTTCTTCTCTGTCGGTATCTATATCCACATATTCCTCCTCAGAAGTCTCGTCGTCATCACCCGTAGGAAGGAGCTCTTCATCATCTTTGAGAAGAGATTTGGCCTGCCCCTTTCTCTGCTTCTGAGTAATCTTAGCCCTGCGAGCAGCCATCATAGCACCCTGCGAGCAGCCATCATAGCAACCTGGACCGAGTGCTCGGACTGTAACTCTGAAAGACTCCTCACACCTATGGATTCATGGGCGGAAAGGAACCACTTGCAACTGAGGAAAGTGGTCAGCGGCTTACGCCTATATGAAAGAAGAGCAAAATGGGCTCTAGTGCAGCCCACCATAGTCCACAGCCATGCTCGTACGCCGTCAATAAGCCCTCCCTCAACCTGCAGACCACGGCTTGGATTCCCAACATATAGTTGGTCATAGCCAAACTGACGAGCGAAATGGCAGGGGAGGTAAGGCTCTATGTGACATTGATTCTTTACCCGGAGGACAAGATACCCAACTCGGATGTTCACTAACCAGCGGAAACAACCAATGTCGAGAACAGTCCGATCACTTCTAGGTTTCTCCTCGTCAATCAGCACGTCACCATAGCGACCCGAAAAGTGAGGAAAACACTTGAAGAACTCCCAGCTCTTACGGACTCGAAGCTCCCGTTGTACATCACCGAATTTGTTCCCGAGCCATCTGCTCTTCTCCAACAGCTGCACAAAAGGAACGGGGACATCAACAACGCTGGGCGCCGACATTAAGTCAGGACGGTGAAGAACGAGCCACGCCATCAGATATGCGTAAGGAAGCTCGACCTTCGGACAAATAAGCTCAGTCGATGGTTCAGAACCCCCCTGTGTAAAACTACTGACTAGACACCTAAGCCCGCAATGGATGCCAGCAACCATCGCTGGGAGCAGGGAAAGCTCTCTCCCGTAAGCTAGCTGAACTGCAGGGAAGAGCACCTCGATAGGTAAAGCGTCTGAAGGCTGGTACGGAACAACACATTTCTTCAACCAGAGAGCAAGGTAGCCTGCTAGTAGAGTCCGGGACCCAATGGACTTCTGCGCATGAAAGAGAAAAGAATGAAACTTGGTTCCCGCAGGAAAAGCTCCCTCAGCACTGGCAATGGTGTAAGAACGAGCCTCAGCCTTCTCCACCAACTCATTAACGGCGGTAGGGGTCAACACATCTAATTCACGAATGGGCTCGCTGGAATTACCCTCCAAATTCTGGAACAAATAGCTAGCAAACTGCTTCAAGCTGACCTGCCTCTTCCTTTTCGCTAGAGCAGAAGTCTGGACCAAGGAGGTATAATAGTGACAAGTAAGATCCCAGAGAGTGTCATACATATCGGGAGTATCTTTCTTCATACACTCCAACTGCTGGTTCGAGGGGAAGTACTCCTGATACGGACAATCCCCCATCGGAAGACCCGAAACATGATGCATCTCATGCAAGGCCAACCC